CTAGCGATTCGTATCAGAAGCCAAAGTTTTAGAGCTTGTCGTTATCTGATTCAAAGGTTCTAGACGATTTTCGTAAATTTTCAGTTTGAAAATGGCGCCGCTTCCGGTAGCCGCACATCTCCATGTGTTCGTTCGTGGCACAGAACACTGTAGCTCTTGGGTTTCGTCGGCCACCATTTGCTCATTCAAAATTTCCGAAAATCGCTTGGAAATTTTTAATCACGTTAACGGCGAGCTTTGAAACGTTGGCCTCTGATACGAATCGCTAGAGCTGTATAGGCGGAGATTGAGCTTTTGGCGATGTGTAATTTATTTCAGCAATAAAAAAATAAAAATACACCGTCATCTCTTTTTTTTTTTTTCAGACATGTCACGAATGGCAAATGTCATGACGGCGGCGGCGGTCGATCGAATTTAAATTAATCTTCGTATATTATAACTTCTGCCTAAAGTTCAACGTGTGCAGTGAGGTTTAAAGTAAACGAAACGAAGGTAAGCACGGCTGTACAATGCCGCCGCCGACACGTAACTCACTCGCGTAGTCTACTTTCAATGTGGAGCGCAAGTTCCGTCTGCTTCTTGCACGGGGGGGGGGGGGGGGGTTGCGATGCTGTCAAATCGCCGAGCTCTTATTGGCTGATTGAAGAAAAGAAAATAGTGGGTAGACCTCAAGGCATCAAGCATTGCGGTTTACCGAGTGCTTTAGCTTTCAACGACCTGTCGTCGCACCACCTCTCGATAGGAGCAGCGTATCTGACAATGGGCCCGACTCATCCGTCTGCGCACATCGTTCATATCTTCAAGGAGATCATTATTTTTCGTGGGGACGAAGTTGGACTTTAAAATTTCGCAAGATAAAACTATCTACTAGAATACGCAATTGATGAAACTTTCTACTCACCCCAGGCGCCGATTTTTTCGGCTTCTTTGATACGCCCGAAGATCGATGACACTATGCATTCAGTAGTGCTCTTGATATTTACAGCAAAGCCCTGGTCATCATGGAGCAGAACAACTCGCTCTCGGTTGTCATGTTCATGTGAGTACTGCACCACCCGAGGCACTTGAAATTATGAAATTGGTTACTGCCTAGTGAAGCAACTACATACTAGACCTGAGACGGAGATAAAAAAGGACAACCACAACATCTCAAACAAGCATCACTTCACGGATGCTCCAGCCATATTCTGTCCACCCTTGCCATAAAAAAAAGAATTAGAATATTGCGTTTTTTTTTTTATGTTTAAAGGCCGACGACCAGACTCGAAATTCTGCAAGGCAGAAGATCCTCCTCGCCATGGGGAAGGAGGAAACAGGCAACGATGGACAATGTAGAAGGGGGAGAGGAGGAAGCGAGGGAAAAGTGGAAAGCGCGAACTGGTCGTCGGTCTTTAAGGTAGGGCGAGCGAAAGGCAGGTGGGAGAGGAGGAAGCGGACGCAACGATGGCGAGGGGACGGGATTCCTCCTCCCCTCCCCAGCGTTGCGTCCATTTCCTCCTCTCCGCTTTTCTTTCCCTCGCCCTACCTTCTTGAGTTGTCACCGACTATAGTAAAAAAAAAAAAAAAGAAAGTCACAGTAGCTTATAGATAGCAGCACCCTATCAGCACAGATAGCTGCTAGGGTGCCTTCATGTGCACATGAAGGCACCCTAGCAGCACTATCTATAAGTAGTGCTACTACCTCGTATTTATAATTTAAATTGCATAATCTCCGCAGGCAATGCATGCTATGGCAGTATAGCTGGACTTCATCTACAGCACGGTCAAGTTTCTATACTTTGGGAGTTTCGGCTGATGCTAATAACATGCAACATTCCGTCCTTTCTGAACGCTGGTATAGGGCCATGTTTGGTGGCAGCACATTCCTGCTCTTTCTTCTGTGTTACTGCTGCCAACGCAAGATGAGAGAAAATGCATTCGCTCCTCTTGATAGCATTCCATCGGGGACACATCCTCAGGTAGGTAATTTACCGGAAGTCCTTGCCCAAGCATCCACAATTCATCGCCGATATACAGGGTGTCCCCCCAAAACAAATATTGACCAGGGTTTTTTTCACCACAAAAATAAACCGCATCTCAATGAAAAGTTATAAATAGTTTTCTGGAAATTTGAATGGGTAGATGGCGGCTGATGGGGCTCTCGAATACTGAATGGCGCCAGCTACTGCAAACGGGCCTTAGTTTCCCATTGGAATTTTCAGAAAATCACCTATAACTTTTTATTGAGATAACGGTTAGTTTCGAAACTTTGGCACCTGGTTCGGACCGCTGGTGCTACATTTGGGCGGAGAATGAGCGTTCCGCTATGCGTGGCTTATTTTTGCTGTAAAACAAAACTTTTTTTTTTTTGAGGGGGGGGGGGGGGGGGGGGGGGCACGCTGTAAAGTATTTGATAGCCTTTCAATTTACAATTGCAATGCTTTGTAAAGCGGTGCGCAAAATTATTTTGCCTACTGTAAATTTTCGAGTTTTGATAAAAAATTGTACAGCACTGGTGTAGCCACAGTTAAAAAAAGGGGGGGGGGGCATTTTGTTTATAAAATTCTATTGCTTGCGTGAAAATGACGATTTCTGACAGTTTCGTACGTAGTCCTGGTAGTGTGCTAGGGTAAAGTTTTTACAAATTTTTTTGGGGTACTCAAAAAGATTAAACTTGTTGAAACTGCAGCTTGGGCTAGTTGGTTGAACAGGTTTTTGGATAAATGCGCAACCCTGAAAAACACCCGCCGGTAAAATTTTGGTCTATTCGAATTTATGTGACAAACTCCGAATTTTGATGCGTCAGTTCCAGCCCCCCCCCCCCCCCCCCTTTTCCTAAAAAAAAAAAAAAAAAAAAAAAAAACTAGTTTACAAGCAAGTTTGATCAGTGCACATAAACAATGGTTTTTGGAAAAAAGCCACCACAGTTATCTTTCAAATCTCGGACCATTTTCGAAAGGGGTCTTACCGCTTATCTCATCAAGGTTCATTGAGGACTATAGGGCATTGTAACGACGAATGACCTCATTCTTGTCCAGCTCGCTTACACCTTTGCATTTAATTGCATTATAGGGCATTGTACTTTAGGGTCATAACAAAAGTCCCTGTTTTGGTTTCCAGTTTGGGCCATACTATTTGTGCTTTAGAGGAAGAGGTTGTGTTTTTGTAACAGTGAAAGCTATGGACCATAGATTGCATAAAATGGGGAAGAGAGGCAGTTGAAACTTTTCTATTGCATCCTTTACCACTCCACCTCGCGTGGCCGCGATGGTAGGTTGATGGAATAGAATGGGATAAATACGAGCTTCCCAGCGATTACCGCCAGGAGTTTCTCGATTTTAAAGTATCGACATTTATTGAAGCAATACTTGTGTGCAATCCATAATAACCCTGAGACAAAGGAAAAATTAAAAAAAACGGACAGTACAACGAAGTCTTCGTTGTACTGTCCGTTTTTTTATTTTTCCTTCGTCTCAGGGTTATGATGGATACCATTCACCAGCTCGCCTGTGTTTTTTACCTTTCTTCACGTGCAACTTTTGTCGTGGGACCAACGCCGTGGCACCAATGCTAAATCCAGTCAAAGAAATATGAATTGGTACAAGCATGTTTCATTTTTTGTTATCTAGCGTATACATTTACACCTGGATATTATTTATTTATTTTTAATGGGAAACCCTGCGAAATTAAACTCCAAATTTCGGAGAATTTGGACTCAAACAAAAATAAACTCCGAATATTGGGCGAAAAATAAACTCTGGAAAACACCCTCCGAATTCAATGAAAAATAAACGCAGAACCCTACATATAGTCCACACAAGGTTGAACACGGAAGAACAAACACAGTACTGTGTTTGTTGTTCTTTCTCCAGCGTTCGTTCCTTGTGCGCACTATTGGCGACAAGATGTTTCGGTGGCGCCCCTCTTATGGTTCCTATCCCAGACATCAGAACCAAGACTATTAGAAGCAAGCGATGAGTTTGATGGCGTGTCAAAAGCGTGGTGGAAGTCTAGTCATCATGTTCATAAATCAACATTGTCAGAGTTGAGAGTCTGACTTCGCTCTTATTTCCGTCGAGGAGAGCAGGAATAATCCTACTCAAGACATCACAGTGGGCGTTTGGCCAGTCGTAGAAGGCTCATCACACCGATGCTTTTGGCCGCACACGTCGCCAATACCCACCGTCAAAAAAATGAGCTCAACATCCAAGGCAGTAATTTGCTCATTCTAGGAACTCAGGTTTAACTTCATCTTTATAAGGCAAGGCCCAGGGTGCCAATATTGGAGAAGAAACAAAATTGGGTTTTGGCAACGTGTGAACAAACTATAAGTATGCATTAAGACAAAGAAATTATTAAAAATATATACCGGTATATATATATTTGAATGAATCCTTTGACAGGTTGCAGTCAACAGTCAACCACGGTCCATTCAAGCTGCACAGAGTGGGCCACCGCCAAACTACGACGCAGTGGTTAAAAAAGACCCAGGAGAACTGGAGCCACCACCTTACGAGGAAGCAGTGGCTAGCCTTCAAGCGAGCGGCTACGTATGACTGCGAGTCTCAGCTACGCTATTCGCAATCTCATGAACCTGTCAACTCGGCGCAAAGCACCACCAAGTGCCTCACCGGGCGGACTGCCGCCTCACGATGCCACAAGGGCTGGTGCTATGCACTTGTGCAGCTGGACTCAAAAGTGGCCATGTCCTCCCCAAATGAGCAGTGTGGTGTGAATGCTTTCGTGTGATGGTCCAATTAGTGCTCGTCTCCACTCAGTTGTGTGTAGTGCATTATACAACGATGGCAGTGGCCTGATGAAGCCTATGTATTTATTAAGCATGCAAAACCCCGACTAAAGCACACTCAGTTTTATAGCTGCCTCTTCGTAAAGTGGGACGAGCGAGTGAAATGAGAGTTTGTGTGACGAGCGGGTGAGAAAAGGTCTAGCCATTTTCGAGTGGAAACATTACACTGCTAGTGTGGTTATTGTCACAATATCATCCTAGACAAAAGAGGAGGTATATTTCTAGAAACATTTTATTGCTACTGACTTCTGAACGCAAGAAACCCTACGAAATAAAAATAAACAATCGCTATTATGGACACCTTTTTACAAAATTGATATATAAATAAATGGGAAGGTGATTCTTGTTTGTGCACATGTTAGTCTTCTGTGCTAAGGTCATCATCTGAAAAAAAAAAAAAAAAGTATACTCTGTCAATGTGCTGAAGCCTGCCTGCTCTCTGAATAAATAAGAACAATTTGAACCAAGGACAGTTGGAAAACATCCTCTTGTTGTAGGAGTGCACTTACCAATGTCTAAGCAGAGACTGCGAACCCTGTCGCTTACGAAGTCTGTCCCACCATCATCCGAGTAGTCTCCATAATAGTCAAGTTCTGAAGAAAAGTGCAAATTCGTGATCTCAGTGTTGCCCGGAAGAGGGAACAACCTTGCTTCAGCACAGTCCGAGGTTTATGTATTTACAGCCTCACAGTCATCTTTTCAACGATATGAATTGTTATCATATGAAAAATTCCCGTCATGAGATTGAAAGGCTCTGGTCAAAATTGCCTGTCAATTGCAGCAAGCTTCCTTTCTGTATTAAATTTGCTCTTAGATTTAACTTTCTTCCAAATTTACGTAATCAAAAACACTATGTGTTTGAAAAAAAAAAAAAAAAAATCTGCTTTGAGATGCTCTACTATAGTCGGTTACAGGTTAAGAAGGTAGCGGCAAATGCCCCTCAAAGGAAATCATATATCCCTCCGCCACCTCCGGATCCAATAGCGCCCCATCGTTTCCGTGACGTCGCGGCCAACGCGCGAGGAGGGTCTTGCCTTTCTGTACATATTTGCTTTATCTTTCGACTTTGACTTAGCATTGTGAAAGCCACGAGAGGGATATTAGAGTTTTCCCTCTCCGATGGAAACAAATACGACTTTCGGGGATTAGCTTCCCCCTCCGATGGATACCAAGGCTGCTTTCAGGGGCTCGGTTCCCCCTCCAATGAATACAAAGGTCGTTTTCTTAAAAAGTGGGATCGGAGACAAGTTGGAATCCATTGAAGCGGAACAAGGAGCGTTTCCAATGAACTCTTCTTTCGACTGCGGAGAGATTTGAAACGGGCGCATCACGCTTGTGGGAGGAGCTTCTCCTACCTTCTTGACTGGTAACCGACTATAGGTCTCGAGCATATTGTGGCAGAAAAAATAATGCCATAATGAGCAACTCACGTCGCTCAAAGTCTGTTTCTTCATCTGGATAAAAGTTTCTCCAGTTGTCCTCTGCATTGCTGTCACTGTCATCATCATCGAGACCTAAATCGGACTCGTACGCAGCTTCTGGTTCAAAGTCCTCGGGGGCTAGACACTGGAACACACTGAAAGAGAAATCTTTTGAAACCCCAGCAGAAGCTTCAACTTAGGTAATATTCAATTAGAATGATCAAAGCTACTGTAAGCAACTTACTATACAATGCAATCATTTTTACAAATTGAGAGCAACTGCAAAACACCACCTGAGCAACTTGCCAAGGCAGGACAAGTTCCTCCTGTGAAGCCCTCCACTATTCCCACTTAGGATATTTTGCAACTTTGCAAAAACTAGGTCCATGTAAAAAAAAAAAAAAATTAGGTCCTTGTAAAAAAAAAATTAACAATATCCACTGGATTAGTCTGAAAACAATGTCCGTTGGATTAGCTTGGAGACTATGTCTGTTGGATTAGTACTTTGAAAACAATGTGGTACATCTGCTGACAACTGTTATGCAACATGTTTATGCATCTACTGAAGTTCGTGAAATAGAAAAAGTTCTAAAGCTGGCAGGTAGAGCACAAGAAAAGTTCTGAGGGACAGCGTCATGCACTATTCACGATTACCAAACACACACATTGCATATTTGTGCCCCCAGAACATATAATGCATGCAGTTACAAAAAAAAAAAAAAAGTGGAAATATAGAAATTGCAAGTGTTGCATTCGATAGATGGCGTCGGTATACTCTCTCGTCACAAGACTTTTATAAGAGCTTTTAGGGCGCACGGCCATAATCAGTTGTACGTGTGTGAACGAGCCTAACTGTGTAGGGAGACTTACGAAAGGTCGGGTTTGTCAAGCAAGTTCAGCTCAGAATGAGAGTAGTAGACGTCGTAGACAAAGTCCTCTTCCAATTCCGGTGGTTTGACTTTTTCAAGCACCATGGCAACGTCGTTGCACGTTATGGTTGAGGCGTTCTCTGTAGCTGCATCCTGCAATTTATGACGTAAGCACATTAGTACCCTAAATCAAGCCCATTGGTACAGGTATGACACAAAAAGCAACATGTGCGAGGAGCAGGCACGTAGCGAGGATTTTGTTTCGGGGGGGAGGCACGCCCATGAAAAAATGCTGTATGAGGGGGAGGGGGGAGAGGAAGTCCCAGCAAAATGGAAGATTTTGGGAGGGGCCCCATGGGCCTCCCCCCTGGATACGTGCCTGGCGAGGAGGGTCTCGACTGAAAGGACGCAAGTACAAACACTCCATCACCAGTTTTTATCTCAGAAACGAAAGGTTGTCATCAAATCTACTGTCCCGGTAGAATATGGTTATGTCTTGCACCCAACTGGGGGGTAAAGTTTATTTTTAGAGACTAAACTGTATGATTGATATGCGAAAAGACTGTGATGTCATGTTCACACTAACGGACATCCTCTCTGCTTGCTACAGCGAAAAGCACAAATGACTTTCACGACTTTGTCGCAAGGACCAGCTTGCCTCATGACTGGCGTTCTCTTCTTTTTGGAAGTCTTCTGCCACAACGTCGTACAGCCTGAACAAGCTGTTGACGGTCTTGTGTGGCGATTCCAAGTCCTTGTCGTCGATTTCTTCAGAGTGGACTTCCTCGATGATTGCTCGATGCTGGAGCAGCAACTTTAGCCTGCTCTTCTTGCTCGCTGAGCGGTGCTCCTCGCGCACTTTGGATGCAATGTCTACAGTGTGGGTCTTCGGGTCTGTCCTCAACTGCTTCTTAGAATCCTTCACTTGACGGATAGCTTCGTCCGCCTCTTTGCAATTCTGCAAAGCAGAACAAATTTACTCCGGTGATATTCATACAGAGAGAGGTGGCTCTCCCTTCCAATTCGGTGTTTTCTTTCATCACATTGGGGGAGAATTTTCTCTTCGCAATTGATACAAACAAGACAGGAATGCGAGGCTAGCCCCGCCCAAGCGTTCAGGTTATCGATCCATTAGGCAATGTGCCTTACACTTACCGGATCTTTAAAGGTGCCAGCGTACGTGAGCGTGAAGTCGCGGTCTTCGTCATGCCATAGTTTGGCTGCCTTCGGGGCTAGCACGATCGTATCTGCTGGGTTCTCATCGGCCTTGCGCTTGATCCTTACGACGGTGGCCATCGACACCGTTCTCCACAATGGTTTCGCGCTGTGGAGCTTTCTGGCAATCCGGCTGGAACAAAGTGAGAAAACTTCAGCTACAGCACCTCAAGCGCTGATGCAAACCGATTCCTCCGAAAGGTCGGTCGAACAGCGAACAGCATTATCCTAGATAAACGAGAAAGATTGAGAAATGACCCTCGTTTTTGCTAGCAAATGTTTCCAATCTTTTGTGTAGAACTTACCTCGAAATTTCGCTGCCTTCCCCTAAGTATCCGCGCTTCCGTACCTCTGTAGCTCAACGAGCGAAACCAACGAAAAGATGACGGTCAACGCCATTATGCCGAAAAAAAAAAAAAAATACATGAGGAAACGACACATTTCGGCAGTCTCGAATATCGACTAGACCAATATTTTAAGTAAGATAAGTGTATTTATATAGGTAAAATATTGGAAGAAAACTTAAACGAACGAATGCGTAAAGTCTATATAAATATATAAACATAATATCTAAACAGCGACACAGGGGAAAACGGTAAACCGACAAGCAACTCTGTGTACGATTACGGCGTCACCGGACGAGCACGTTTCGCACTTCGTTGGAGCTGTCCTGGGATTGTTGAGCTCAAACTTTTACGTTCATTAGTAATTCAAAAAACGCAAATAAGTGGGCCAGAATGAACTTAAGCAACCAATTACGTTATGGCGTTGAAATTACATGGACGACGAGATCTAACCTGTGCAAGTCCTTCCGTAGACAGGTACTGTTGGGTCATCATCTGCCGGGGTCGTCTGCCGCCTAGAAGTTTTGGGCGGTCTCAACATGAAGAACTACGCACGTGTTCTCACGAACCACCGGTTCTTGGTTAGAGTTGCACATCCTGGTACCCGTTGCATGCTTGATCTGGCCCCGGCAATGTCAGTCGTGTTCGATCCCAGCAGCTTGGTTCAGGTCAAGGGTGCGTCGGCACGAACTTTTGACATGGGTCCCCGGCCGTCTGTAGTAATTAATCGCAGTGCTTGTGGAACAGTTTGACGCACGCCACGTTTTGTGTGATTCATTTGACGTGCTTGTAGTTATTAAATCAAGCACCTTCCTTTAGTTCCCACGAAAACTGTTTTTTCTTTTTTTTTTTTTAGCACATTCATGACCAGTTTTGCACAAAAGTAACACCCGGAAAAAGTACTTTTTTTTTTTCTTTCTATGTGGCAGACATGAATATGTATTTAATTCAAATGGCAGTGTGTTTGGTTCCTTCCTTACCAGAAGGTAGAACCTAAAAGACATCGAAACAGAACCACTTTTAAGGACCCCATGTAGTGCATGCACATGCCCTGGAAAACAAGCACTTATTTGCTATAAGACTGAAAAGAAAAAAGCTGAGGAAATACCTTTTATAAAGGAGAGCGTGCTGCTTATGGGTTACAAGAATCAGGGAAAGCATCAAGAACAAGGACAGGACAAGACATATTCCACCACTTGGAAGCATGTTTTGTCCCATGTTTGTATTTTTTGTTGCTCTCCCCTTATTCGTGGGATGATTCGTGGTTCTCCAAAATCTTTATTTCCAGCTCATTTTGGGTGGATGGATACATTTGCGAGAGCAAAGGACCACCAATGCGCGCAGGCAAGAAGTTAGCGCGGTGCGAGCGTGGGTGATACCCTTCATTATGCAAAACAGCGCGAAAAAAAATGAGGAGGATGTCTCGTGTGTTTCTTCTAGGTCCTCGTCGTTTTTTTCTCCCTGTTTTCCATGATGAAGGGTATCACCGACGCTCGCACCGCGCTAGCTTCTTGCCTGTGCGAATTGGTGGTCCTGTGCTCCCGCAAAACTCACGCGAAGTAAATAAAAGGCAGTCTTAGTTGATTGTTTTGATACCTTTGATAACAATATGATGCATGCTTAAAGGCGTCGGCAAAGTGTCTGGTGTTGTTATCAGAGTCATCTGAATAATAATTTACTAGAACTTCCTAATGAAAAAGGTTACCCTAAAAATATTTATACAAGTTATTTCTGCTGACGCAAATTGCTAATGAAAAATGCGCTTTAGTCGTTAGTGAACAGTTTCGCGGTTTCGCCGATCGTTTTTCGCTAGCAGACGACCAGGGAAGAGCAGAGTGGTGCTGCGATCGCTAGAGACGATATGTCTCGACCGCAAGGTGCATTTATACTCCAAAGAGCAATCGCCAAGGGGCACTGATAGTACCGCAGGCCATGCGGTACTATCAGTGCCACCTAGCCTACTTTATATCTCCCCCTAAAACCTTAACCCCAAATATTGTCGAACCTGTTGAACCATCTAAACAAGGGGTGCATAACTAAAAAAATGAGGCAGGCCAAAGTTGTGTTTATTGAAAACTGCGTTACGCACCTAGTGAGATGTGTTACACATTTTAGCTGCAGGCAGGATTCCAATGTCTGGCGTCATAACACTCATTGCCATCTTTAGCATATCTCGCAGTGTCGTGTCCGTCATGGCAGATCAAAGGCGGTTCTTGTTGAGAGTCATCAGTGAGAAGGTCTGTTCACAAAGATATGTACTCCCAAAAACTGACATCAGTTTCAAAGCATGGCCCACAAGGTTTCTGTACTTGTTCTTGTCAAGGTTTTTGCACAACAGCTGAGATTCACTATGGATACGCTTCAGTACTGGCGAACACTTGAGGTCGATGAGCTCCAGTTGCACCGTTGGATCAGAATCTCCCGGGGCCGCAGAAAAATGATTGTGAAACAGGTAATAGTTTGCTTTCTCGACTTCGATTGCCTCTAATCGTAGTTGGAATTCCGGTAGAAGGTTCTCAACGTATGGCGCGTAAGTCACAGTCACCGACTTCTGGTTTTCACCGGCAGACAAGAGTTTCCGACAGGCTGGAAAGTGTGTTGAATTTCCACATTCAAGCTGCAGTGTGAACAGACACAACTTTCTTTGGAATGCGAAGATTGTGCTCACCATTTCCGAAATGAAATTGTCCTTTCCTTAGAGAGTTGTGTTGAGTGCATTCAGGTGACTTGAAATATTGGTGAGGTATGCCAAATCCCTTGACCACTGCTCATCTTCCAGCTTTTGTATTTGTTTCCCTTTGCCAAAGAAAGCGATGATGCCGTCCTCGAGCACGACGAAGCGACTCGGAGCATTCTCACGGCTCAACCAGCAAACTTCAGTGTATTACAGAATGTCCGTGTGCTTGTTCTCCATATCTTTCGTATACTCCTGAAACTTCCTGTGCTTAAATCCCCGAACACATCTAAAGTTGACGACCTAAGTAGCGACTCATGACACTCAAACTTGATCACTTTGGCACAAAGAGCTTCCTGGTGCAGTATGCAGTGATATTGCTTCAATTCTACGCTACTATGCTTCTATCAAAGCAACTGCTCCGTTTCTTTTCTCAATAATGGCTAGCTCCATCAGTGCAGACACCTGCTAGTTTTTTCCCCTGGTAGCTTGAGCTTTTCTATGACGTCTTTGACCTCCTTGCTTATCTCTTCTTCAGTAGTCCCTCCGTGCATTGAGCAGAGCTCTGCCAGTTCCCGAGTTACCTTCAAGTTTTCATTGACGCCACGGATGAAGACAAGCGGTTGCACATTATCTTTAATTAGAGCACTGCACAAGCCTACTTTATGAGGCCCAGCCCGGCCTGGGCCTGCTGAATCTTATCTTACCCGACCCGGACCCGGCCCGATGGGATGCCTACCTGATCAGGCCCGGCCTGGGCCCGGCCCGGTGAGAGGCCAAGGTGTGCCTTATCTCTTAAATTTAAAGCTGCCCTGTGAAGGTGTTGGCGCATTTGATTTGTTTACTAATTGGCATGAAAGATGCTGCCATATCGCAGTCATGTGGTGAACATTCGAAAGCTTACTCAAATATAAAAGACATAGATAGCTTATCTTTGGTAGACAGAAGGCATTCTTTTTTTTTTCTCTTCAAGAGTTCGAAAAGAAAAGGGAAAGACAATCGTACTGTCCCCTGTGACTGGATTTCCCTCGTTTTCTTTCCTGCTGGCGGCTGACCCACTATGCTGATGGAATCCCCAGGATTTTCCGTACAGTGCAACCCACTTATAACGTTAATGAGAAAACCCAGAATTTCAATTGTTATAACCGGTTATCGTTGTATCTGGACTAGAAACTGGTTATTTCCAGTCTAGAAACTCTAGAAACTGATTGTTATAAGTGATACATTGTTATATGTGGTATTGTTATAAGTGGATTGTACTGTATCTTCTTGTGGGCTTAGTCCAAGACAGCTTTATTTATTTCTAAGATATTTTTAGTGGCGTCGTAGCGAGTTTGTACTTAAAGTTTTTCGCTTCTTTCGAGTCTAAATGATAATTCGTTGGCATTTTCTTAACATTGGAGAAAGTGTGCTACACCGCTGCCTTAGCCAAGGCTCAGACTGGACGCGGAAACAATCCGCGCTGCTCATAACCGGCCCGCGAACCGGGCTGGGCCGGGGTTTTTGGTTAGGCCCTGCCACGTGCGGAGCTCTATCCTTGATGTCTGTGCTCTAATTCGGAGCAAGAGCGTAGTGCTACACAAACTGACCGCAACTCTTCTTTAGCGATTTTGGTAGGTCGTCTGCTGTATCATGCACATGTCGCTGTACAGTCATTTTTGATAAGCTTCGATTTTGGAAGACCAACTTGTCTGGGCACATTTCTTCAGAAGCAACCAGAAGGCACTCTTTAATGAAGTCGCTATCTGTAAAGGGACGACTTGAACATGCTATCTGTTGAGATATCCGAAAAGAAGCCCTCGTAGCTGCTTCAGATGTGTTTCTTGTTTTTGGAAAGATTTGTTGCTTAGCAAGTAACATCCTCTTTAGCTGTTAGTCTCTCAGAGTCGGGAAGGGTGCTGAAGTCACGGCTGTGCTTGGTCTCGTTGTGGCATCGGATGTTATACCCTTTAGACATGGCAAGAGACTCTCGGCAGACAAGGCTTTTACACTTCATTCTCAATTAAAAAATACATCGATGTCCACTCTTGATTGAATTTCCAGCCCTCCTGGTCTATTTGCCTCTTCTTTGGAGGAGCACTCATATTACACGTGCAACTTTCAACAAATGCAGGAACCAATCTGGTATTTTTCTCTTCTGCTTCTAACTGGCATTGTTCACATCCAGACAGGATGGAACAGGGTGGTAGCCTCCAGGGTGAAACGGGGAGCGATTGTGAGAGAACAACAAGCTTTCGCGTTCTGCATACAGACATGTTGAGACAGAACAGACGGCTGGACACATTGTTTTATTGTCAGCGGGACCACTGGAAAAGAGATATTTTAAATAAGAAATCATAGTTTCTTTGCCAAGGACTTTGAGAAACAATGGTCATTGGGTTTCACTGTAGCTTGCCGAGTGGAGCGGGCGCGCGGTGCATTCAATGGCAAAGTAAGCATGTTTCTGTGCGGGGCGGGCCGCAGGCCAGTAAAAAAGCGCGCATGGGCCGATGGTCATATGTTTTGCACCCCTGATCTAAACCATCAGTTGTGCATAATTTTGCACTTCCCTAGACCTTTTCTACCAATCTTCTAACCTCTCGTTTCTGTGATTGTAAACCTTTTTTTCCTCCACCTTTGTCAGCAAACCCAAGGCACCCAAAAGATCTGTTTCCCCTTTAGGGAGAGTGGGGCAAAGTCCCCCACAATCATGTGGGGGACTTTGCCCCTCATGATTGTGTGTTCTACTGTTCTGTTTTCCCTTTGGCATATGGCACTCAATAGGTCCATTTTGTCAAGTTTTCCCTTTATGTCTTTGTTCTCAAAACTCCTGTTTGAGCTTTGAACAGTAGCAAATGCCACAGGAAATCTTAAAATACATTACTTGTTACTTATCTCCTGTTACAATGATTGATACATTCTTAGAGCTCTTTTTTAGTCAGCCCAGCAAATTTTGCCACTTTTGGCAGAGAGGGTACTATTGCTAATGTCCTCTACACTGTGTAGTACATAGCACTAACCTCATTGATCCTCATGTAATTTTCGGATCATTTCATATTGGGAAAAATATAGCTAGTTTCATTAAAGTTTTAACCTATTTAGAAGGGGCTTTTTTTTTTATTAGCAATATTATTTTGGTGTGTATGTATATGATACTTGATGGTTATAAAATACAGCAAAATCTCTGTGGGGTTTCTAACTTTTTGCAGTTTTCCAGACCCTTCTCAGCGAAGAGCTCATGTCGAGTGTTGGTTGTCAACCCGAGAAATGGCAAGTTTTCTCACTGCTGCTCTGTGGGCCCACTGGCTGTGCAGAGAAGATGGTCTTCAGGAACTGACCCTGGAACAGCCTCCGTGCAAGTATGTGGACGCCAAATCTGGAAGTTGAGCTGTTGCACTCAGCTTCTGAGACAACCTTTGGTTGACTGCTCTACTGCCTTCTAGCTTGTCCCTGCTGCGATGTTCTGGGAAAATAGTTTGTCCCATTGTACATGCAGGTTTCATGTTGACCATACGGTATTTTTTGTTGCAGACTTATAATCGAATGCATTGTTTTGTAGACTTGTTAGTTAAACTAAATCTGCTTTATGACTGATGTAGGCTGTAGGCCTGTTCTATTTCCAAGCATTGATTGAGGGGGCATTTTTTTAACATTTCATATCTTCAAAAACAAATCAGACATGAACCCGTACATTCCGTGACTTTCCGGACTAAGAAAAACTGATTGCCGGACTAGATATTAAAGCCCTCTTTTGTTGAGGTCACTTATTCCCAAGGCATATCTACGTATGTCGCATGTCCAAGGCATCAGGTGTGTTCACATGCCCAGTAAGTTAAAAAGTTTGGTTTTAGAATGGATAACGCTACGTACAGTGCCTGGTGTTTAAATCTGGAGGTGGACCTCTTATTTATGCAAACAATATGTTTCCCAGAAGTTTAGTTTGCTAACACATTTCTATGTTTGTGTCCCCCAATTCTGATGAATGTAAAACCTAAGAATAAAGAATGTCAATCATATCCAAATATGACATGAACTTAGGCCTTCAAAAGTGTAGCGGCTGAATATCCAAGTGACAGTTTTGTAGTGTCATACATGTGTGTTATTGGGGCAGTGATCACATTAGCATTTTTTGATGGCTGGGAATATTGCAGGGGCAAGTTGGATGAGCATGGAGGGATCTGATACCCATACCCATTGCTATGTCACCTGAGCTACTTAGAACATTTTTTGCTGCTTTTTACCCGAGTCTTTATTTCTACCGTCTTTTGCATAACTCAAATTTATTCAAATTTTGGCTTGTCCACAGAAGTGGATGCACCAAAATTAAACCGAATGGAGAAAGGTGACAATTTTTTGCCTTCAATAGTTCCATATGATGCTTCTAAATCTGGACAGCTTGCAAGCACTGGATGTGCTCCCACGAGACAATTATAAGACAAAACCTGTACGATGACCTTTTTTTATATTATTCCTTTGGAAACAAAACTCGACCACTGGAACATTTTTTGGGGAAAAGATAAACTCGACTGTCAAAAAGTTGAAATGTCAGTCATGTCTTTACGGTCATGCACAGAAATGTGCTAGTACAAAGTCCGTTAAAATTGAAACGTCCGGAAGTGAATTCTCTGTTGCAATCCTCGAGTTTGCGACCTAAGCTATTAAGTATTCCTGGCTTTGGTGCCCTATATGGCAACTCCGCTCAGGTTTTAAATTTTCAGGTCTTTGGATGATTTGAGTGGCGTGGTCCTATGAGTGTACAAAATGCCATTGGGGGGGGGGGGGGGGGGGGGGGGGGAGGAGGAGGAGGAGGAGGAGGAGGAGGAGGAGGAGGGGAGGGGAGGGGAGGGGAGGGGAGGGAGGGAGGGAGGGAGGGAGGGGGGGGAGGAGGAGGAGGAGGAGGAGGAGGAGGAGAGGAGAGGGGGAGGGGAGGGGGAGGGGAGTAAAAAGCTAAATTTTTTTCTGAGAAATCTAGCCTCAAACATTCTTGGATTACTGTTGTGCATGAAATTGAAATGGCTGTCTCAGGAGAGGACAAGGTTGACATCCATGCCTGCACACTGTTGTACTAGCTGCCATCCAGTCGGAGTTATCGCAGTGTACCAGAGGCACATGAAAAGTATGATCATGGAGTCATCATTCAGTATGAACCACACCTCAGGGATTAACTTTTTCTGCCAACCTAAGAGGAGCACTTTTTGGTGGATTTAATAAGGAATGTAGAGACCCGACTGAGATGTGTGTAGTCGTGTTTTCGTCGGGCATTTCTTTTAAATTAGACCTGAGTGGCGATACAGGTAAGTTGGTTCATGACTAGAAAATATTAAAAAGAGCTCACAAAAAGATGCAGATTGAGGAAAGAACAACACAAGACGAACACCAACTATCTTATGTACTTCTCTTCTCAGTCAGTGTCGTCTTGTGCACTTCTCTCCTCGGTCTGCTTTTTTTTGTAGGCTGTTTTTAACGCTCCTTTTGGGCTGAATTTCATCCAAGGGACACTTCAGAATACTTGGGCACCAACCCTCAAACTGTGACATCTGTTTTGATTGTAGTGATGTGATTGCTGCACCATTTTGTGCCACACTGTGCCAAAGTGCTTACCCTGCTACATCCTGCTACATTTTGCCAAAATGTGACGAATTTGCAGCAACATTGCTCCAAAACTTAATTTCACTTTAATAATACTAAAATGTAATATATAATAGCTCAGGCCTTGCTACCTGGCCGAATCGTTGCAATATGCTGATGCAAGTTTTCAAAGCTTTTGGTTATTGCCTCAAATAACATGCTATTCTATTGCATTTTGTATCAAAGACTGACAGTACTCAGAAGTTTAACAATAATTCTCATGTTCATGGTCTGTTCGGGAGGGTTAGTTAGTTTCGTTGAGTGTGCTTCTCACCACGCTCTTGTGTACTACAGAGAAGCGGCATCTGTGAAGTAGGCATCGCGATTTTGCGTGTCTTGCTTCACTGCAGCGCACCCGCGCGCTAAGGGTAAAGCACTTCTTCAGAGTGAGATGCAATACAATTTCTGAATACAACTTCGGCTTGTGTGATAGACTACGATATCCTGGCGGTACCTCTTAGCAATTCTAAATTTTAGCAAGGATACTCCAGTATTGCAAGGATATTTACGTGCACTCTTTTGTAGGTTTATTTATTTATGCCAACTCATTTGTTTAGTTATCAGTTTTATATAGGTGTTGTGAATTAGAACTAAATTGACAGGAGCAGGGATGGAAGCTTGGGAAGAACCTTAACGAGTTCTGTGGGATTGCTTTAGAGCACAGCTCTTAGGCAGCTGTTTTCGGCTTGAGCGTCGTCGCCGTCGCCATAATTGTAACGCTTCACCATCGGCGTAACTGCGTAGTGCATTATGGGAAATGTCCCATAATGCACCGCAGTGACGCGCGTTGCATTATGGGACGTTTCCCATAATGCACCGTGCGGGAGGGAGGAGGAAGGGGGGAGAAGGGGGAGGAGGAGAAGAGGGGGAGGAGTAGATGAGGAGGGAGGAGGAGGGGGTACGGATGAGGAGGATGGGCACACCGTCCTTTCTGTACCCTCCCCTCCTCCTCCTCAAGAGCTGCACTCTAATTCTGCATTACAGGGAGTTGTAAACGTCTTTCATTTTTTAAGAGGGCATGTTGTTCGTCAACATGCCCGTTTTTGTCATGAAGTTCTACATATAAAATCTGATTGACATTCATAATCAAGTGACAAGTGCTTTGTTTTTTTATCTGAATTATAAATGGCAGTTTTATTACAACCTCTAGAATGAGGAAACATTAATTTAGGTGCTCAAACTTTTTGTATTCTAACATTATTGCAAAATTATTGTATTCTAACATTATTTCAGTGGGATTCAGTAGCTAAAATAACCATTCATAGCAGTTTGTGCTGTCTTTCATCAGTCATCTTATTATCGTGTTTGCTGCTTCTCTATGCAACTAAATGCTAGTTCTGTGTTTAAGGGCATTGCTCCTGCTGTGTTTTTGATGCTAAAAAAGGGTTGCACGTAAGTGAGATGGCAAAGTAGGTGCTGCCTTTTAGTTCGACAGGCCAATACATTAATCGTAACATAATATTTGCAGTGGTGTGGATGAAAATGAAATGTGCGCTCATGCTTCAAAAATTATTTTTGCTGCTCCAGAATTGACCTTTGGCTGCTCCAAGAGCTGCTTCAGAAGGACTGACCAATCGCATCACTGCGATTGTGATAAAAAGTAACGAGTCGAAGGTGGCTGATGGCACTGTGATTCGGCAGGCCACCCTCGTCGAGGCCGTACCGCCCGTGCCCGCTGCTCCGGTCCCCGCTGCTCCGGTCCTCGAAGTCGTGGATCCTGGGGCACTGGTGGAGCATGGCGAGGGCACTCTGCAGTCGATGGGCCTGGGTGGCTGGGCACCCTCGGGCATGGTACAGCACTGTCTGGACCTGCTGCACTCCTCGACGGGGCTTCCCTGGTGGGCCACCATTGCGCTAGGTGGGTCACCCCTCGCTACTCAGGTCCCCATTGAACCGCCTGGGCACTGCGCGATTCGGCCAGTGCCCAGGCGGTTGCCGAGGATTTGGCAAATGCCTGTTTGCAAAAGTTTTGGGGGCCTTTCCTTAGATGCTTAATAATGTGATTCAGGGTGCTGCATTTTGTAGACAGCTTGTAAATGAACCGTCGTGCCTCGGTTCAGAGTTCATCACTCGAACGAAGGACGGCCGTCGGCAATCACATTGCTTGCACCCGCAGGGACAGTGGTGGTGAAGCTGCTGGTGTTTCCGGCAATCCTCAAGGGGCAGAAGAACACCATCCACATGAACAACCATCTGCCTCAGATGCAGGTTCTGCAGGCCAAGCTCAGTGAAGCCAGAAGCTGTGGCAACCAAATGGAAGGCAAGCTGTCTCTTGCTCCTCTTTTGTGACACTGTTCGGTTTTAAAAACCGCCTCATTGGTTGGAAAGTTACATGTGACACCGACAGTTTTTTTCCATCGGCTTTTAAAGCATTGCTAGAATCAATGACAAATTGCTATCTTGCCAATCTAGCAATGTGGCTCCAAGAAATGGAACTGCATTTTAATTAGAAAAAAAAAAGTATAGGCTATTCGCATCTATAAAAGAAATGTGATAATACAAATATATATTCTGAAAATTAAATTATAGAGCATGTTAAAAAGCAAAGATTTCTAGCTGTTTGGTTTAATCAGGAGCTAAACTGGAATATTACACACACGAATAAATTAACCTTTGAGCTTTCCAAGGCAGTTGGATTTCTTTATAAAATAGGAAACCTAATATGCCTATGTGGCTCAAAAAGAAGATATAATATTAATTCCTTTTACTCCAAGCTCTACCACCATGTTTTAGTATGGTTAAAGTCCTTCGATACAGTCCTGGTCACAAAACTTCACCCTAATGCATTGAGAGCACTTTGTACGCCGTGAGCATGACTACTCCATGGTGTGGCGTCGAGACGGAGGCACATTGCAGACACTCCAGCAGCCACCACTGGGAATGTAGCAACGAGGACGTGTTATTGGAATTTCAAACTTAGTACTCTGAATCAGTCGCACCTAGATCGCGGTGACACATCATCGCACTGAAAATGTTTCTCGTTAATGTAAGCATCTTTGGTTCTGTACATGCAATCACCTGCTGAACCTTTTTTATTTGCACCAATCTCCTAAAATGATACCATCTTTCATTCCTTTTTCTTGTTTCGTTAATGACGTTTTCAATATGCCACCACTGCCAAAACACAGTTCCGCGATCTGCGGCATCTAGTGCGTACAATGCGAACATGTGTGCTCAGTGACTTGACTCTTTTTGCAGTTGAAAAAACATGCTTTTGTTTGAAACCACTTGGGGAAAGCTTATTTATAACTTATTTTGTTAGAGTTCAATAAAGAATGACCGGTGTTTGGATACTGTGATCATTTACAGGCGGAACAAAGTGTTGGTGTACGAGAAATTGTTTTAATAAAATCTACTTGTCATTGCGAACTGGGATTCACTCACTCAGAGTGGAGAGACCTAGTGAGCCCCTCTATCAACTGTGGCAGCTCTAGCAGCAGCTTTTGTCCCGATAGCAATCTTCAGCGCAAGTTTTCTGACCAGAGGCGTGTTGAAGGATTCTTCAACACGCTTCAGCACAGAATCTGACTGCTGAAACACTCTTTAAAAAAAAAAAACATACGGGTTATTAAATTTATGACAGGAAGACAAATGCATGTGACATATTGCACAAATATACTTTTCTGTGCACATCAGGCAGCCTCCACAAATTTGGAAAAACTATGATAAGTAAACAAAAGAATATCAAGTGACTTAGTAGATTTCAATTACTCTTATTTGTAGATTTAGGAAGGAGTTGTGTTTCCTTGAATTGGAATAAATTGTAGCCTTATGACTTTTTCATTATTTGCATCCAGTATTTATATGGTACAACTCGAATGTGTTCCTTTTCGTTTGTTATTACAAATCGGTGTTTGTCCTTGACTGTGTTTTTTACCCTTGAATTGCATATTATGTGGGAGTGGGATGTTCCCTCCACTATTGTCTGTAAGATTTGCAGAGTGGACATAAACCTTCATTAGGCTTTGCCTCTTTAGTCTCTGGTCCTTTTTGGTTGATTCAAGAAAAAAAAGTTTTAAATCCAGTAAAATTCAGACTGACAGCATTATCTTGCAGTTGAATGTCCTGATGTGGCCAAGCCAGTTGTAATCTATGTTTGAGAAAGAATGGGTTTCATCACATCATGTATAATGGTATTTTTCTGTATATTATTCTCGAGGTAATTCAATTTGATGCACAAGTGCTGTTTACTGCATTTCAGAATGGACTGCCATAATGATTGCTGTTGATCAGTTTAGATGCTTTCATTAGGTTACCTAGGGAAAATAGAGTACTGACCGTGTACTCTGGTAGTTTTTTAAGGCACAGTTAGGCATGGATGCAGGCAAAATTTCTTGTTGGCACACCTACTTATACATCGGAGTAACTGAAAAGTGCCAGTGTGCAGTTGTACATGTTTCAGTGGGTGGTTTCTCTTACCTGCCTATTAGATATAAAGCTTTATGCAGTCAGACCTGCAAAAGATGTCACACTTTTCAGTTGGGTACCTACATTTTGTGACAGTAACAGCCCTTGTGAGCTAGAAATGAAACTGCTTCACTGTCCGGAAGTGATGCACTTACTATCTTGACTAAAGGTTACCCACAAATGGAGTTTCTTCTTCAAGTAGGAAACACTAGACATGTATTTGCTGTTTGGACCAAAAGTGTCTGACTCCCATTGTAGCTCACTGAAACCATTTTGTTGTGTAGTTTCTAGCCTGATTTTACAATGATAATAGGGACAGTGGTTTGGGACTGTTGTGCTTTGACATGTTTTACTGCTAGTGATGATTGCTACCCCGTTCATGGGATAGCGTAACTAGCTTAAGTGCATTGTGGCAACAGGTGAATGACATCATTTGGAAGGCTGCCAACATGGGTTCCACTGATGGCCCTCTTTCGTGTGTAGAGAAGTGCACGAAAATGAGGACCAAACAAAAGGCACAAACCACAGACGAGCACTTCCTCACTTTTTCAAAATTGGAGCTGTTTTGTGAGAGTGTAATTACTAAAATTGTTTTGTGCCCCAGGCACATCCTTCAGTTCATTATTGCATTTCAACGGTGCAAGCAGGCTTTAGTTAAAATGTATGATTCTTTAATACGGAATGGGTTGTAGGGCTGGCATTTAACTGTATCCAGTTTCACACTCCTGCGACGAGTCAGATCATGTCCTAAACATAGAGCGACACTCTACTCCATTTCACTTTAAATGCGAGCGAAGCATACGCTTAAAATGCTAGCTCGGGGCTTTCAGCATCCCTGCCAAGCACGCGCACTCATGCAGTGCAGGCATCATTCGGGGCAACATGCTTGTGCTCGTTGCTACGGCTTCGCTCGCGTCAATGTTGCTAGAACAGCTGAGCTAGGGAACTCGTGTCCCTCGAAACACTGACCCCTTGCGTCCACCAAAACCCAGCCACTACCAGCAAGATTCAATTACAGTGCCGCCCTTCGACAGTCAGTCAAAACGGGCAAGTTGATCAGTTAGTTTGTTGGTTATTGGTGCTACAGATTCCGTTTTGAGACGGGGAAAGAGGGGAAGGGGGTAGCAAAGGGTGCATTTTGTTGATACAGGTAAGATTTCTTGTTTTTCTTCTTCCACGACTTCTGTGCATTTTTTGGATTGAACAGTCCACGGGGAAGCCGCATGGCACGACTCTTTCTGTTTTTTTCCGTTCCGGTATGTCTCGTTCCCGGAGTTCTTGTTGCGGCAGAAACGACAGCACTGCGATCACATCTATCTTGGCACTGCATCACATTGTGTGTTATCACTGCACGGTAACGTAAAAAAAGAAAAAACAGTTTCTTTTTTTTTTTGTAACATCTCACACTTTTGTTTTGCAGCTGCCCGGTATGCCAATGAGCTGATGCTCTTCATGAAGGAGAAGCAGATCAACCCTCTCAAGAACATGATTATACCAATGGTTCAGGTTGGTGTGACCATTTGAGTCCTAACGTTGCTCCAGCTGTTGTCTGATTGACCAGAGGAAAAGGGCCCATCACATTTGCTGAGGTCACTAAGGGCTAGGTTGTAAACTATATGCCCTTTGTGGTGAGCTTGGTTGGTTCTTACATTTACCTGGATAACTGTCATTTGTTGCTAAGGAGAGCCTACGCCCGAAAATCTCCTTTGCAAGGTAAAGACAGTGTAGCACCCGGTGATCCTTCCCGAAGATGCATCTCACTGCCCCAGTGAGATGCAGTCATCTTCCTTAGGCTGCTGAGGAAGATGACTTGTCTTCTTGTAGGTGAATAACTGCATGTGCTCCTATAATTGTACTCTGGTTAGCTGTTATCATATTGGATGTAATACAGTCGCCGACCGTTTTTTCGGACTCCAATAATTCGGACTTGTTTGATATTTCGGACCTAAAGGCGGAACCGTGACTTACCCCATAGAAATAGAGTATAGACCTTTTCACCCTCCGCCACATGGGCGCTGCCATCTTGGAATCACGTGATGCGGCCGCCATTAGGTTGCTTAAACTTGTTGCTCCGCTCTCCCCTCCACGCTACTCCGCGCCTTGGGAGATGCATTAAATTTGTGTTTATCGTCGCATTTCACCGCCTTTCTTACCTTACTCCGGAAAGTGTTGTCTGATACTTATATTTACCATGTGATTGCATTACATCATTATGTGCACAACTTTTGCAGTTAGTTTTGTAACAAAATTTGACCATTTTTACCGTCTCACATGAATCAGCGTTGCCGCTCACGCACACTGAATACATGTATGACTCTAAAAGAGCACGAGGACTCAAAAGTCAGTAACCTATGAAAACTCAGGTTTGCTAACTAATAGTGGCGGAACATTTGTAATAGGAAGAATACGGTAAGTATATATATGATAGTGCATTTAGGATCTCAAGGAAGGGGACAAAATTACTCAGCAAAAATAATCTCGTGCGTTTCTTGAAAGCATTGTGTTTTGTATTTATAACAGAGCAAAAACAGTTTCTCTTGATTACGGTATGTGGGGGAACTCGTGGACAAGATAGAGTATGAACGTTTCATTTGGATTTTTTTTATTCTATAAATAATGGTACGTCAACATCGGACAATTTCTTTACAATATCACCTACATCTGTCTGACGTTCTTAATCGTCTTTGCGATATAAATTTTCGCTTGATCGGTTTATATATGAATTCCAAGAAACTGTATACCGTGCTTGGTTCCATACGCCTTTTAATTGCCTAAATGATAACCACACAGTTCATTTCAGTTATTAAATTTAAAAAAACATTGCGACTCCCCTTGTGAGGAACTGTTACAGACAGCTTGAGAGTGCATGGGGGACACAAAATGTGACACCAAAAAGAATTTGTCTGCATGAAAATCGCCCGAATGCAACGTTGTCGACGGCGAATAGGGATTTACTGGCGGCTGACGGCTGGCGACGCCAAAATCTACAAAGCGTGTCTGCTCAAACCAGTAAAGAGCTCTCTGCATAGGTCCATGCATCGCGTGGCGCCTGGCGCTCGACTTCAGCCAAACTTTCTATATATCACTTTTTTGCGTCTTTTAATTTTCTTTGGGAAATTTTATGCGATATGAATTTCAGACTACATTTGAGGGCAAGTCACTTATCTTATACCTTGAGAACGTCGTAAGCAAATGTCCATACATGCAACAAATAGTTTATTTCATAAAGCCAATATTGTGAAATGTTGTTAATGAGTACTTTAGTTCAAGAAATTTTTTAGTCAGCCTAGGTGATCTATAGAAATATTTCTCTAACTTATTTCTTTTTTAATGAAACAGGACGAGACAATATTACTTCTTTTGTATATTCTCTACGTATTTATAAAAGACTTTTCTAGTGCGAAGTTTATAAAAACTTGGTGCACAAAAACCAAACGTCGAGCAGTAAACTTGTCCGTTCATCTGTTCTTCGTGATTCAGCACATTGTTGATCATGTTGTTAACCTGCATCTTCGCTAAGCACTCATGCATTATAGTTTGTTGCAATATAAGATGAGCAGATATAATTTCTGACTTGAGCGCGAGCTATCTAACTGCCGTACCACTCGGTGCACGCGCAGCCAAAGCACGGCAGCAGGCAACGAGCGCCTGCTGGAGCGGCTGGAAGCGGAGCTTGTCCTGCTCCTTATTTATTTATTTTTCTGGAAACTAGTGTCCACAGGTACGGCCGTTGATAATAGTAATCCTTCCTGTGCATCAGCGTAATTGTTTCACCGCCGAACGTGGTCGGAATGAACCATGGACGTAATCAGACACATTTGGTGTTCGTGTGAGGAGGGCTTAAAGTCTGGGGGGTCTCAGGGGGTCTGTAACCCCCCATTGGTTTTAATGGATAGTCTGGGACCCTCCTCCACAGCCCCAGGATTAGCGAAATCAAAATCATATCTTGCTATAAAATAGCTTGTTTTCAGGGATGTGAAATTTAGGGATTAGCAATTTGAGGGTTGCAGGTACCGCATGAACAGAGTCAGCAGTGGGGTTTATTTTATGTGCACCTAATACATCTCGTCACTTGTGGATTTGCGCCTCTGGTTTCTTTCGGACAACGCTGGCTTGTACGTCGTGGTCCCATCTGTTGTTCTGCTACTCGACCATAACGCTAGAAAAGATGGCAGCGATTCTCAGGCTAACAGAAAGTTGCCGAACGGAAACAGAGGCGTAAGCTAAAACAAGGCACGCAGGCGTAACCTGAAACAAGGCACTATTTACGGCTTTTTTAAGCTCACTTGGAAGTAATAAAGGCAAGTTTTTCAATCTGCTGATTTTTCGGACTGCTCTATTGTTCGGATGTTTTTTCGGTCCCAGCGAAGTCCGAATAATCGGTCGGCGACTGTAATGTCTAATTTATTTATTTTCTATTTATTCTGGTACCTACATTGCCTAGTCCTGGGCACCATTGTAAGGAAGTAAGGAAATAAAAAAAAAAAAAAAAAAGACAATGAAATATACAAAGATAAACACATTGTAAGGGAGTAAGGAAATAAAAAAAAAAATAGACAATAAAATTATGCAGAGATAAACACTGAAAATCGTGCGATGCAGCAGGATTCACATAAAAGTCACATTGTATAGTAGGGTAATTTCAGATAAGATCGACCAAAGGGTGGCTGGTCTCCATTTTTAAATCAACTGATGTTTTTATATGCCATTGTCTAGTGTCCGGTATAAACAAATCCACACTTAGTTTTGACCATAAAAAAAAAATTTGGGGCCAGGAAAAATCGTAAGGCATGAAGAGGTGGACAGTTGCATTAACGAGCACTGATGGAGGGGGCACGTTTGAGAGTGAATAACTAAAACGATAGCATTAGGAGAATTCTAATACATTTTAGAAACAAAGTATGGGTCCAGCTTGCTTGTAATATATCGTAACACATTATATTTATTTTTCGAAAAATTGTCAAACATGGCTGCTCGAACAACAAATGGCAAAATTTGGAGACTTGTAGTATCTCATGAAATAATTTAATCACCATTATATACTTTTCAGACAGTATTCTACTTATATATGGCTATTATTTAATATATAGGGGTGACCCAAGTCGCCAGGCTCGATCTAAAATGGACCGTAAAAATCTATGCCTGCACGTAGCAATATAAGCTTTTCGTCAAAGGTGTATTTCACAGGTCGGTTTTTTCTTGTAAAATTACAAAGAGTAGCTCTCTTTCTGTAAAAAATAGGGCCAAGAAACTTGCCAGGGTCTGCGGCGGGCGGTGACGCAGACGACCAAGTTCAGTAGCGGGGTGTGTTTGGCGTTCATATTGATAGATGGCGTCGGGAGCAGCGTTCGAAGGCGCAGCCGACTAGCAAAAGGAAGCAGACAACATGCAGACGAAATTTGTTGCGTTTGTCGGATGTGGTTGTGAAATAACCAACTTCCACCCGTCACTTGATTGACTTTTAGGAAAGTCTCAGGATCCAATGTTTTTTTTCACAAGGTCGCCGGACTCCCATGTTGCAGGCTCAGTCTTTTCATCCACCGGGATGTGAAGTTCCTCGAGTGTAAGAGACCGGCCTTTTGGGCAGTGATCACAGTCTCCTTGAAGACGCAGACCTGTTAGTGGGTCGCACAGAAATGCTGAGTTCATTTCATCAGTGTTAAATGTTGAGCCTCTAACGTTCTCTAGAGCGGCAACAAAATGGTAATAATTGGCGCAGCGCTCACAAACGCACACTTCCTGGTGTGGAATACAGTTGACTCATCTAGGGCACAACGAATAAAATTTCGTTAGCCCAACACTGGAATCAGAATGCTTGTCTTTGTATACACGAAAAGCCTCTCGAACTGAGCGTGTCATGAAGCGCTTTGGCAAGAATATTTTCTCCCCGTCCAGCATGACAGAGATGACGTCCTCCTGGTTGGGACTTTGGCACTAACATTTTAGCTCCTCTTTCGTGTAGTAGTCTAGGGCAGCAGACACATTCTCAGGGCTCCCCTTGCACCTCGTGTAAGGAACCAGCTCATACCACACGCCATGCTTTTCCTTGAGTTTCTGGGATTTACTTATGAGGCACATTGATGTTTGTGGAATCATCTTCTGAACCTTTTTCTTCGTCGTTGTTGACGGCAGGAGCGTGAGCAGTTGACAACGTTCCCGGTGAGACGTGGCTTTTTTAAAGGCATGCCGAAAGTTGTCCACCCTCTCAGTGCTTGTGGAGCATGTTGGTTCGGACGACCCCGATAGTGTATCTCTGTCATACGCAACACGTAGCCTTGAACTTACATTCTTGACAGCAACCTGCTCCAGTTCTGTCTGCTTCCTTTTGACATAGGCAGGCCTCTCCTGACTTCTTACGACGCTTGGTTGTCTTAGCGGCGACACATCCGTAGGTAGTATGCTTCGATTTAGATCTTCAATTGCTTCTTCGGGTGGCGCAAACATGTCAGGGCATGGCTCTAAGCTTTGCATAGAGATCTCCTTAGTGATGGGCTTGAAGCAATTGT